ATGTGTTTTATATTTATCTATCGAATCTCTTCAAAATATCAATTTTGACCATAAGTGGACTTAGCACCTTTGCACGTTAAGCCGACGATATGATATTTTCTTAACACCCTGATGACATGTTCTAAATATGGGTGAAATCGGTTCACAACCACGCCTTCTTCCAATATAACGCTATTTTGAATTCCATCTGATGCCCTCTCTGTATAATATATACATTAGGAACCAATGATGATAGCGGAATAAAACTTTACACAAATGCGGTATTTGAGCTGAAGTATCCCTTGTCTGAAGTAAAATTGTCGTGATCGGACTATAACTTTTCAATACAATTAAAATAAATGAAAATACAATTCAATACTCAAAGTACATTAATTTTACAGCAAAATAAAAAATATGTAAATGACGGATAATGAAATCTCGATTATCACTTTATCAGGCGAGAGTATAAAATGTTCGGCGACACCCGAACTTAGCCCTTCCTTACTTTTTTTTTTTTTAATTTGTACACTGAAAAGTGAAAGAATTAATTGGGATTTAAAAATGTGTTACATAGGAGCGTTTTTGTAGTCCGTACTTGGGTACTACGATCAACTGTGCCTAAGTGCTTAATTTAGTGCTACTTATGGACTTTATAGATTTTCGGTTAATGGCGTTTTGTGGACCTGGCAGTCCATCTACGAAAGCTTACAATTTTTTACTAAGGTACCCGCACACCAAATTTCATGAAGATATCTCAAGTTTTACTCAACTAAAGCTTGCACGGATAGAAGGACAGATAGACAGTTACCCGAACTTCAGATGACAAAAATCGAAATAAAAACAAGTAAGGAAGATGTATTAGAGAGAGATTCTTTTGGAATTTCATGAAGACTTCTTACATATTAGAAGAAATCTGCGATATAAAAAAACGTTTGGTATATGGGAGAATTTGGCACCCCCTGGAGGCGCCATCTATACGTCGACTAGTGCGTTAGAAGCTGCTATCTTAATTGATTGTCCAATGAGAATTTTATGACACTTAATTTATTGGAAGTGAAGTTATTGCGTTTTAGTCAGTATGTTTGTGTTATTGGTGCGAAAATGAGCCTCGAACAAAAAGCCAACGATAAATTTTGTTCTAAAATTGGAAAAACTTTTACCGCAGCATTTCAATTGATGAAACAAATTTAAGGCGATGATTGCCTGTCCCGCAGCAGAGTGCACGAGTGGTTTCAACGTCTTCAAAGTGGTTGTGAGGACATAAATAACGATCAACATGTGGGCCAATCAAAATCCGTGATCACCAGAAATTCCATCGAAGCTATGCGAAAATTCATTACAAATCAGCCGAAAAAACAATTTTTCTTGTTTTTTTTTTTCTTAAGTCCAAAATTTAACCCATTTTGGGCACAAGGCTGGTATTCACATATTTGGTGTATGGGTTCTTGAAAAGTTATAATCTGCTTTTTGTGCGTAAGATTAAATACCTTGAGAGTATTATATGCGTAAAGTTTTGCTTTAGTATAAATGGGCCACAAGCATTGTTCAATTTTCACACCAGCTCCCATAAAGGTCATACTAAGTCCGGTAAGGAAAGTAAGACTAATTGGAATTTATCGTATATTCAGGAATAAAATAAAGCTGTTCTGTTTTCTATTTTCATAAACAATAGAATTACATTCATTTTAGTGTATGAATGTTGCCGATACTGCCGGTAGATACAAAGTTATAAGAACTTCTAATCTTCTACTTCTTCTTGATTGGCGTAGACACCGCTTACGCGATTATAAATCTAATCGCATTCAGTTAATATATTGACAGTTTTGTTCCCCACTGTAATTGTCTACAAACTTTTAGGAATTTATATTATTCTGGAATCACTTTCAGTTTGTGGATGAGCTAAAATAAAAGGTTTGTTTATAATAAATCAAAAAGCTAGCAAGCATCAACTATAAATAAGAGAATTTTCACTTTCCAATTAAATCTTTAAATATATACAAGAAATCATAATTAATTTTCGATAATTGACCAAATTTAACAAAAAACTCTTGAAATAAAGTTGGTATAAGCCAAAAAATTATAACAAGGTATACTTCACACACATACATATTTACATTTTTCTGGAACTAATTGGCATAAAATCTGCTCATGTGACACAATCATATACACCAAGTAACATAAATAGATATCTCAACACCCGGAATAGAAAATAGTCCCTAATTAATTTATAACTCGCTAATCTTTCTACTCTTCCCGTTCTTTTTAACTGCGCCCAATCTTCACATGCAAAATACGTATCAACAGCATCAACACTCCCGGGTTCCCCAAAACCTTCGCAATTATCCAAAGTTACGAGCGCTAGTTCAACAAACCCATTAATAAGCGCTTTCAAAGATCGGCAAGTGTTTATTGGTGAGCCTCAGAATTCGGCGAAACTTTCTACGCATTGCATATGCCGTTGAGATTTCTCCATTATGATTTTTTTCTGCGGCAATAAATTACGACATAAATTTACAAATATTATATAATAGAAATAACAAAGAACAAATACAAAAGCAAAAGCAAAGATTAAGCCTTTACGCGTGACTGCTGAATGAAGATGGTAAATGAAGAGAAAGAAGCAGAATGATGGAACGATTCTACTCGCGGGTATAAAAAGAGATCTGACAATGCCTGCAGCAGACATTTATTCTATTCTAGACAGTGAAGCAGCTTCAGGCTATCGGCACGCACTTCTTTCTAATATTTCGTCACACCGAAAGCAAATCCTCAAATTATTAATTAAAAATGGCTAAATTGGTTAGTGTTAAACTATTTGAGTAATTTTTATAATATTCTATTAAAAAAATATTTTTTGTTTCTTTTTGCATTGACCTCACAAACAGTGCGTGGTCCTGTTCATTTGCGCCTCAGCTGTCGCGCTCGCCTCAGCTGCCACCATACGCGATCGCCCCCTGGCGATAGGCAAACCAGTGGTTGCTGTTGTGCAGACCGAGAAGGAGAAGGAGTTTGTGCCAATTGTGAAATCGGTGGCGGAGCGCAAAGATGATGGCTCTTTCGTCTTCTCCTACGAAGGTGCCGATGGCACGCAGCGCGAAGAGGTTGGCATTGTAAAGAACGCCGGCACCGACGAGGAGACTTTGGAGGTTTCGGGCTCTTACCGTTACTACGATGCCGATGGTCAGCTGATCGAAGTGCGTTATACCGCGGGCGAAAATGGTTTCGTGCCACAAGGAACGAATATTCCACAAGAAATCACGGCAGCAGCGCATGCCGCAGCTGAGGTAGCGCGTCGTCAGCCGGTGGAAGTGAAATGAGGTGCGTGTGTTTGGGCGACAAATCAGTGATTGGAGTAGTTTGAAGTGCTTTATAAGTACGCGTGTCTATTGCTAATAAATTAAAGAATTACATTTTGATAATAAGAAACAAAAGTACAAAAAAAAAAAAAANAAAAAAAAAAAAAAAAATAAAAAATAAAAAAATAATGTGAAAAATTTAGTTAAAAGTCTTATTAATAATTAGCATGAAGTTTGCCGCATTCCGCTGGTGTCATTTGCGCCTGCACACCTTACAAGATTTGTGCACAACCTTTTCAAAAGTGACACCTGAAAAATGCTTCAACCAGCCGCCTTGTCATAAGTAACAGTTAAGTGTAATAACCTAAATGGTAAGTAATACACTGCGAATGGGAAAAGTGAGCTTTAAGCATTTCTGTGGTGGTTGCAGATACTTTTGTTCCATATGAGCAGGTTCGGTAATTTTTGAAGTGATCCATTTAGGAAAGTAATACATATGGATAGCTCCAAATAATTAAATTAGAAAATAACCACAAGTTAAAAAATAATGTAGAAAACATTAGATATGTAACAAAATTGGTACCGGACCAGAATTTTTAGGCCGCAGTTGAAAATAATTTTTAGTATGTAACAACAACAGTATAAAAATTTTATTAAAAAAAACAACGAAATGATAGAAATGAACGGCGACAAAAACGCACCCGCCAATTGTAAATAATTTCCCCGAATAAAAGATATTATTTTCCGAAATGATATTATTTTTCTAAATTGGTAGGATGGTCCTCAATTACTATGCCAAATATGAGCGCGATCTTTCAACCAACTTACCAGAAATCGGATAAAAATATCGAACAAAGAATTTGTCTCAAACTTTGTATTTGTAATCATACTTCAAGTGCGGAGTCATTGCGAATATTTGAAAAAGCTTACGAAATTAAATGCTGGACGAATTTCGACCTCTTTAGCTGATGAAAATATTAAAAAAGTGGAGGATATGGTGCTTGAAAATCGTCAGAGAGTTGTTAGAGAGGTGGCAATGATCGAAATCTCGCGCGAGTCCATTCGAATGATTTTGATAAATATTTTGGGTATTAAACGCGTTCTTGCTTGACTCGTCCCGATAAATTTGAATTGTTTTCGCATCGTGTCACGAATGTGACCTAATTTAAAGCTACAAGTGCAATGCATACCTTTGATCAAACACCGTATATTTTTTTTTTTTTTTTCCCCCAAACTGAAATTGCCGAAGGCCATGACAAATGTTTCGAGGACTAGAAAATTTATTAGAAGAAGGGTTTTGCATCTGGTGGGAATTACTTTGAATAATAATTAATAATTAAATACTTTGCATTTTATTTTACAATTTCCAAGTTCTTTTTGCCACAATGTAGCTAGTTAATATCATACGAAAATTTATAAACCTAATGTAATTATATTTTAATTCTTTTTCATACCTTGCGATATTCAGCATCATTTCTTTAAAAACGATCATAGCCTATATTTTTCTGACTTTTCATGGGAACTGTTAGAATATGAGTTACTATTCCAAGAAAATTCATGTTATAATGCTTATATATTTTTACTCCCTTAAAAAGCAAAGACTTCAAGGAAGACAAATAGCATTTCTTACTTTTTACCATTTTACAACATTTTCAAAGGTTCCAACCTATTGCAGTAGGAAATAAAAACATTCGAGTTATTTCGAATTGATTCCCTTAATTTCGAAAATAGCTTCAACCTTATCAGCGAATGAAATCTTTAAATAATGCAAAGTTAGAAACGTCATGATAGATTATAATCATAGTAGATATAATATGTATGTTCAGATAATGCACGATAAGTAGACTTAGTGCTTCATCATATCTTAATTCAAATGTTGCCCGTCTATGTCTCAGATGGTAAATCCATTGAGGAAATTTTTCGATGATTCGTGAGCATTTCGACTGGTAACTGGCGAATGACACACGCGATACTTTCCTACAAGACCTGAACCTTAGCGGGATTGTCCAACAGGGCTTTAGACTTGTTGAAACCAAATGTCACCGAGATCACAAGTTCAATTTTAGGCATGAAATAGTTGGTTATCATGGCGCGATAACGGTCGCCATAAACGGTTACGTTATTTCCAGCATAATTTTTGGAGAAATATGGACTTTTCAAGAGCCCATCGAGCGAAGCGTTGTCCTTGGGAAAGTCGAGCGGCTTGAGTTATTGCACAAGCTGTATTTGGTGCGCTTTCGTTTAAACTGAGCCAAGACATTCCGAACGTTCCGTGTTGCTGAAAACGGCGCCGAATCGATTCTCAACGGTCTTTGTGCACACCCTCAGCTAAGGCTGTTGCTTTTCGTCACTGCTGCTTATGCAGGACATGGTCTATTCGTCGAATTTTATCCAATAACCAATGCTGGGTCTCGACGGGGGGTGATGGTGTTGCGAAAAGTACGCTCAGTAGCTCCCGTCTATTTTGAATGTTTATTTTCATTGCACATTAAAAGAAAAAAAAAACTTTTACTTTTAGATAATCTTGAAACCGCTCACCTTTTTCACTAAAATTTTGTAAACTATTCGAAAACTTATCCGGACTATTATTAACTTCAATTTCATATTTGTCTAGACTCTAAAAAGTTGTCAACATATTTTACACAATTTCTCCACAATTTGGTACTTCATGAGTATCTGGAAATTAGCGACTATGAAAACAAATCCTTGCCAAGATTCACTTTCCACAGCATTCGTAACTTCGGTGAAATCTGAATATTTTAATAATTCCTGTATTTTTCATACTAAGCTTCAACAAATGTAACTTCAATGTTTTTCATCCACGTTCAATGCCTTCACCAATTGTTTTATAAGTCCTAACTAGATAACGTAGAAAAACATTCATTTTGCTTAAATAACTTTGGTGTGAATGTTTGTTTCTCTTCACCATTCACTGTCATTGCTAGCGATTTCTGGGATTTTGCCGTCATTATGGTTTCTGAGTGTGTGCGAAAAATAATCATGAGTGGAAAATTAATTTTCTTAATTGATTAATTGATCAAAATATAAGATATGATATATTCATTAAAATAAGAGCATTTGAATAAATCGGAATTTGCGAATATATCCAGGGCAACAAAATAAATTATTCTTTGTAGAACAGTGTAATAGAAAGGGGTCATGCTGCTAGCAAATATTTATGTACTTATGCCTACTACGGAAGATGCAACAAGTCACTACTGGTTTCCACATTTTAATAACGATAACGCTTCTGAAAATATGATCATATGCCATAAACTTAATTAATTGCCAAACAAATTTCGTTAGAAAATTGCACAAATTATTTAGCCTTCATATTTTTCACTGTGCAGCTGAATCATCTGCACGTAAAAATTGTTGAAAAATTATTCGTAAAATTAATTTCAGTCACTTTTTCGCTTCGTTGGCCAAATGTTACCGAAACCATTATCAAGTCAACTCCGAACAAATCACAATTCGCTACCCAAGTCAAGTTGATTTTTCAGCCAAAGACGCCGCAGCAACGCCTCAACTTCGCGCAACGCCGAATAAAATTGCTTGGAGGGAGAGAGGAGTGTATGGAGACGCAGCTTGGCAACAACATGTTTTTATATATTGCCAACAACAACAATAATCAAGCTAATTGCTGTAAAATTGTGTCTCAAAGGCTTTTTAAAATAAATTCAAATCGAATTCTTGCTGCTCTGGCCACTTACAAATTGTTGTTATAAAATAGCGGAGACGCTGAAACAACAAACACAAAAATAATAAAAAGATTTTATAATAATATATGTAAGTGCATCAGCGGCGCAGTGCGAAAAGTATGCCGCACTGGGGAGCGCCTCATAAGTGAACACCTACTCGCAGCACAGCAGTACATACATAAATACATCCACAATTATAATTACTTATATACTTAATACATATATATCTATACATAGATATATGTTTAGATAGTTTATGTTTGTTTGTGTGTATTCATCATCGCGCCGGCACATGAACTCCATCCAATTCAGCAGTTGTTATTGTTGTTCATAGTTGTGCTGGTTTCACGGCTTTTATTGTTGTTTTTGTTTTCCACTGCCGCTTCATCGTCACACTGACACACTGCCTTAGTGCCAAATGTATCTTCCGACTTCCAAGCTTTAGTGCGGTCCACGGTCAGTCTGCTTGAAAGTGCTCGCAGCTCGCTCCACTCAAGCGAATAAACTCTAAGCAAATCTGAATCTGAAACATTAGTTAAGCTGTCAAAATTATAAATTGTTGCAATTTTTACTTGCTCGCTCGTATGCTTGACTTTACTGTCTGTTTACTGCCGCAGCAGCATCTTCATCTGCCCCGACTGCCGCTTTAACAATGGGCTCCCTTTGGTTGAGACTCGTTTGTTTAAAAGCCTAGTTTTCCTGTCAAGCCTTGTAGGAAAGACCGCACATTTACGAAGAAGAGTATTGAATTTTTAAAAATTACTGCTGTGCATCTGCTTTCAATCTGCTAACTAACTGGATAAGTCATCCGCTGAACTAAAATGTGGGTCGAATGAGGAGGTTAAAGCTGTCCCAGAGGCCTATCTTGCAGACCTTCAGCATAAGTGTATACTGACAGATGGACGGACGGACGGACGGACAGACAGACAGACGGACATGGCTAAATCGACTCAGCTCAATATACTGATCATTCATACATATACTTTATAAAGTCTCCGACGCTTCCTTCTAGGTGATACAAGCTTCGTGGCAAACTTCCTATATCCTGTTCAGGTTATAAAAAGTAGAAGAGAAAAATTAGTCATGATCATACTGAGAACAGAAAGATCTTGATTTCTTTGCAGCTTCCAATAGAATGTTAGGAAGCCTATACTGGAAGGAGGAAAGAGTAGACAGGAGGAAGTACGAGCAACAACTCAAAGACATGCGACAGGCCACCTCAGCAAGTTTAAAAATGTAATTAACCTCCTGAGGAACAAATTTCAGCTTATTCTCGCATTTTACACTAACCATTGAAAGCTCACGAAGCATTTATTCAATATGGGCTTAACCCCTTATGCAAACTTTCGGTTCTGCGACATGGAGTTGAAAACTTCCGAGTACCGGATGATAGTCTGCACAGCAGTCTGCATACACAGAAATAAGGCACGTGAATGTGTGTTT